AGCACCATTATCCTGAGTTCAGGTGAGTAGCACCATTATCCTGAGTTCAGGTGAGCACATCATTTCATCCCTGAAACCTGATGGAAACTGCTGCTTAAGAGGAACTTGACTGAAATGAGGGGACTCTGATGACACTAGACAGCAGAAAAAAATAAAGAGAAGCTCACATTACTAGGAGGAGTAAATCCTACAGACTAGATTTCTTTAAAATAGAAAACTACCCCAGTGGGCAGAGATGTGGGCATCTGTAGCTATTATTCCTTTGATTGGCACAAGGAGTATGTTGGGCGCTTCTGCCCATTGGCCAGCGCCAAGTGGGGCACTGTCACTTGATTTATAGATTGTGAGGGCTGTCTTGCCTGCCTCAAACCAAGCCTTTTTTGACTTTTAAGTCAAAAAAGTTTATTATCCTTCCAGCATGACTCTGAGTGTTGCCCAAATGGAATTAAATCTTGCCATGGAGGAGTATAGATTTTTTTTGGTGACTGCTTTCTGAGTGGTGTATAGGATTACATCATGGAGTTTTGCTCGTTCATCTCCCCACAGGGAGTCTGAGGCATTGGGGTCTTGACTGGAGGAATTTATTTGCAGTCACCTTCTTTCAGTGGCCAGTTTGGAAGATTATACCAAAGAAGGGAGTGCAGAAGCCAGCAGAAGGGACAAAGGGGATGGGGGGAGCCGAGGGAAACAAAATGGATTATGAATTTGAAAATTGCCAATTATCTTGTATCATACAGCTCAGAGCCCTGGCACAATGATCAGCCACAATCCAGATTTTTCAGCTTAAATGGCTTTACATTCAAGCAAGCAAATTAACCATAAAATAGGGGGGGAAAAAAAACAAAATATCCCAAGAAAGAATAAACTGCAGATAATAAGCACCAATCTGGTGTTGAATGCAACCCAAGATACCAATTGTTTTAAGTCACGACAAAGACAGCTGAATGCTCATCTTGTGGATGCAGAGCGAGGATGATTGCCTGCATGAGTATCTTCTCTCACAAATAACAGTTTTTTCGCTCTTAATTTTCTGCTAAATTGGAAGCTAACTGCTTCCCACATTGTCATTGGAACACCTGCAGCTGTGCTGGATTTCTGCGCACCATTTCTTTTAGGTAAAACAGCACTCCACTTCCTTCAGCGCCTCATTATGCCGAGGTCTTCCTTTCACTGCGCTGTGGCACTAATGATTCAGGCAGGCTGGTCAGTCATTAAGTGACAAGCAAATGATACCGTGTGCAACGTGTGAGTAATCGGTCTGAACAAATGAAATCACAGACTTGCCTTTCCCATCATTCATTTCACAAACAGTAGCAATGTGGTGCACAGCAGGTAGCTCAGTTAAAACCAGCCTTGTAAAACAAATTTCCTGCAGCCAGTTAAGGGAACCGCTATGGGCTGGAGGCTTCAGCTCCTGGATTGTACCCAGAGGAGTTAAGGAAGACTGGGGTGGGGGAAGCAGGGAGGGAGGAGCTGGGAGGAGAGCCTCGGTACATACATTAGAGTAATTAAGGGTTTCGTGTCTTATTGGTATGTTTTTCATTTGTATGGATCTCAGAAATGACTGTTGGATTAGCAAACCCAAAACATACAGCATACATTTCACTGTTCCTTGTCAGGAGGTAGCAGTTAGGGAGCTGAAGCAGGGTTCCCATATAAATGGTCTAAATGTGGAGTCCCGAAGACATCATTGTAAATCAGATGGATTGCTAGGAGCTAGGGATGCAAATCACAGTGATAAAAAGCTTCATGGCTCTTATTTTCGCAGTAGATTCTCTTTTGATGCATCATTTATGTTTCAAATGGCGCAAACTGGCTGGCTGCTAATAGACCCCTGACTTGCGTGTTGAAACTTAAAATGTGTTAAGTTAGCCTTGGAGAGGATAAACAGTAAAATGAGAGAGGCTGACATGAAAATCCCTGTAGTCCTCAACTTGAATCTTCTGACTTCTTGCTAGTACATTTGGGGCAGGAGCTCCTTTCTTCCTGGGGCTAGGGTTCCATCAGGTTTAACATTCATTCCTACTTCATGCTTGCTCCTTGGCCTGAGGCCCTGGCTTACAGGAAAACCAACATTATTTTAGTTTCAAGTATGTTCTGAGTCTTTTGTAGCACTGATGGGTTGTGGAAAGACAGGCTATGACTACACGGGTGACATCTGCTCTTCCTTTCCACGCTGTCAGAAATAAGCAGAATGGGTTCTCATCTGGCTCCTATTTTTCCTTGCTCTGATCATCCTGATTCTGGTTTTAAATTTTCTCTCATGTACTGTTAGGTAGCTGGCAAAACTCCAGAAAGTACCCTGCGCTGTCTGGGCAGACTGGGATCCTCGTGATATGTACACAACGCATGGCAGGGAAGGCAGGGAGGTCATGTGTGTCCTCATGCACCGAGGCTCTGGCATCACCCAGCCCTGGATTTGCTTTCTGGCCTTCAGTGACACTGACAGACCATGTTAATACCCACAGCCCTCTCTGTCCCCTGACAACTCTGGATAACATTCAGCATGTTATATATGGAGTGTTCCTAATCCAAAACCAAAATTTACAATGCTCCAAAAATCTGAAACATTTTGAGCACTGACATGATGCCACAAATGGAAAATTCCACACCTGCCCTCATGTGAGCAGTTTCAGCTTAACAAAAAAAATCAGTGCACTAAAATTACTGTGCAAAATTACTTTAAGGTTATATGTATAAGATGTAAGTGAAACACAACTGAATTTCACATTTAGGCTTGGATCTCATTCACAAGGTATCTCATTTATGCAAATATTCCCAAATCTAAAGACATCCAAAATCAAAAACAGTTCTGGTCCCAATCATTTTGAATAAGGGACACTCCATCCATCTGAAGAGAGAAAAGAAAAATGTTCTTCAGTCAAGAGAGTTTGAATACCAGAAGTTCCTTTTGAGTAAGACCATAAGTTTCACTCACAGTTCAGAATCTTTTGTGGATTGACTGGAATTCATTAACTAAAGTTCTCAAAAAAAAAAAAAAGACTTCTTCCAAGTGAACAGTAAGCTGACTGCTGCAAACATGGCTTCTTTGCAGAAATCTTAGTTTATTCTCAACCATGATGCTCCCCAAATAAGACTGACTCAAAGCTGTCCTTAATTTGCAAGACGGTTTTAAAGATTTTCAAAGGTTGGCTGGTCCGATGGCAGTGGGTTATCAGAACTTATTAACATTAGTGTCACTAAAGTTGGTATACCACCCCCCCACTGCTAAATTTGACTAAATTTTATTTTTAAAAAAAAATTTAAAAAAAAGATTTTCAAAGGTATCTTATTGGATTAATATGTGCCTACTGCATATAAATCAAGCAATACATAAAGTGGTATACAACCCTCCTCCCTCTTTGCCTACCTTTACCAAGGTAACCGCTGGCATGAGTATGGTATGAATTATCCCAGATCTTTTTTGTGTGTATGGTACTGGAGAGAACCCAGGTCTCTCACATGGAGCTACATCTTCAGCCATTTTTATTTTGTGACAGGATCTTGCTTGAACATGGGATCCTCCTGCCTCAGTCTCCCGGAATGCTAGGATAACCTAGTTCATATCCCAGACATTTTCATGCTCACACCAATACACAACTGTAACTATTCCCTCCATTCTGCTCTGCTTTTACTGATCATGACACACAGGGGACCCTTTTGATGTCAGCACAAGTAGAATTATCTCGTTTATTTTAGCGTCTATTGATTATTTTGGCCTGTGGATGCATTTGGAACTAATTTAACCAATCTTCTTCCGATGTACAATCAGATTGTTTCCAATTTTTAATCTACTGAAAATAACACTGTAGTGAAAATCCTTGCATGTGTATCTTAATTTATATGAGTATAATTATAGAGTAAATTCTTAAAACCTAAGTAACCATGCAGTTTAATCTTTGCCACTCTGACAGTTGATTGTTTTTTACATTTAATCTTACTAAACTAAAAAATCTTTTTATGTTTCAAAGCAATTTGCATTTTTTGCCTGTGGTTGTTTATTTGCACATTTTTTGGTAATACATAATCTTTTCCTTATTGATTTATAAAAGTACTTTTAAATAAATGTTTAGCATATCTTCCAAGTACTTGTGGCTATTTTGCAGTAATTTTTACCCTAAAAGTTTTTGATATTTATGTCATTTATTAACAACTCTTTTCTCTGATGATTTTTTGGGTTTTCATTATTTTTGAAGAGTCCTTGCTGAAGTATATAGGAATATTGCATTTTTCCAGAAGTCTTATGATTTGAGCCATCTGGAATGTATTGTCATTCAAGGTGTGAGAAATTCAGCCTCATTTATTTCCACACATTTAGCCATCGTCCCAATGCCTTTTGTTTAGTAGTCCACCTCTAGGGCAGTGTGACTATCCCTGATCGTCATCTCAGAAAAGCAGACTGCTTTAATCAACAAGGTTTGGGCACTAAACACTAAATTCTGTTCTTTAAATGTCAGCAACCTAAGCATAAGCAAGATGGTTTACACCTGTTTGGGGATTCGTCAAGACTTTTTCAACACTCCTGGAGCTGGCTGGCCTCTGGCTGATCATCCACAACCCAATATTCAGAATGCTTGTACATGCTTGTACAACTCTAAACATGCATATTTTTCTTCTTAAGTCACTTGATGGTAAAAACTCTAACTGAGCCATCATTGGGCTGTCTGTGGTCTCTATCCCACTTGCCTGAATAACTGTTCTTCAGGCCTCTGGGGACAGTACACACAATGTTCTATCAAAATTGAAGAGTATGAATTTCAAAAACATGTCCAGTGCGAAGGATTCTGGAAAGGAGGTTGTGCCTTTAGTAAGAGGAATGTGTTACCCGCACAGGAACAGAAAGCTTACTAGTAATGTGAGCAGAGTGGATAATGGTGAGGAAGAGGAGGGAGAGGGTGGACAGAGAAGCTGAAGAGGACATGACTGCACTGAGCACTCTTCCTATTTGAAGCTATAACATTTCATATGAAACTTAAATTCAGTGATGCTGGTTTTGAGATTTTATTAAATTAATATTAATCAGGAAAGCAATCAGATTCCTTAAAAAATAAACTCAAAAGGTCTTGAGATTCCAAACATTATCAATTATAGCACTTCATGAAGTAATGTGTTATCCACTGCTTCAAGGGTTGTACCGTACTTCTTAGTTCTGTAGGAGGAGGTTTCACTTTATACAAAGGGCAGGTCCTGCAGAGGGCTTCTCACATCATATCTGAGGCTGAGATTTTCAGAATCCAGTTACTGAAAGCCAGAACTGTCTTGGCTGCTGGAGACAAAGAACCAGAAATGAAATAAGCACTTGGTCTTTTCTTCATTGAAACCAAACAGAAAGACCTAACTAGGCATAGAAAGACCTAACTGTTCTCAGTCCTTGTTGCAAATCAGAGTTCCCTGGGAACTTGTGAAAATATCCCTGCCAGTGCTTTCCACTCAAAATCAGAATCAGGTTTTGACTGTGATCAGAATCACCTAATGGGCTTGTTAAGCCCCAGGTTGCTGGCCCCACCGACATCACTTTTATCTTTACTTAATTCACGTGTGGAGGCACTTGACCATTATTCATTTTTCAGATTTGGCTAGGTAATTCCCATGGACAGCCATCCTGGGCAACCCTGACTAGGCAAACAGACTTTCCCCTGCATACCCGGTCAGCATTTCACACCCTTTTCTCCCACGCTGTAACCAGATGTTTCTCAGCCACTTTCACAGCTTCGGGACTTTTCATCAACAGGGATAGGTTTCCTCACATGGCTCTGGAGACAGCCACAAATATCGCTTTTTAAAGGAGATATATGTTTCCAAGCTGCACAGAAGATAAGGATGTGACTGGGAAGAAGATTAGAGCATTTTAAGTAAAATCTAATTTTCTTTTCTTTCTTTCTTTTTTTTTTTTTTTTTTTTTTGCTGAGAAGCATGAATACATTGTAAAATGAGAAAATTCTGGTTTCCTTATATAATACAGGAAGAGCATTTACGATTGGCTACAGCCTCATTTGGAGCATAGCTCTGTGCAAAAGTAAATCCTGATTAAAACTGCAGTGAAGGAGAAATTCCAGACATTGCAAACAAATAATACCCTTAGAAAAGATATTTACGTAACAGTGATTGTCAGTTCATTTCTGGAAACCCAATAATCGACTCTTATGAAAAAACCCTTTAATAGAATTGTAAAGATGAATGTCAAGGGCCTGCTAGGCATTTGCTTTGTTGGAAATTTCATGTTAACCCAAGATTTTGTTTGCCTGTTATTCCTAAATGCTGGAAAAGGCAGGGGACATCTTCTAATATATTAATTCATTCCCTGGCAGTCTGTGACATGAGGCTGATTTGGGGTTTTTTTTGTTTTTGTTTTTGGTTTTTTGGTCTCTGGCAACATTGCTAGGCTCTGGGATAACAGCCACTTGATCCTGCCAAAAAAAAAACTAGGAATTTTCTGATCTGCCTTTGTTTTTCAAATCTTCTCTGAGGAATATATTTTGATAGAAGACATAGGTAAAATGTAGAGAATATATGTTTTGCTGAATAAAACCGAATGAGAGGAAGGAAGGCTTCAGAATGCTTATCAGCATACTTATTTATATTTTAGGACACTACTATGTCTGTTGTTGTAGTATATTTCTCGGCCATGCATTTGGAAACACCAGCTCTCACATGAAATTAGCAAGAAGACAAAATCCAGCAACCACAAAGATTGGTATCTGGCTTTACAAGGAAAGGCTGCACTTGGCTGACGTGGTAGGGCAGAGGAACGTCTTAATTCCTGCTCTAATGGAGCTAATTGTGCCCATGATACAGTTGAATCAGCTCCTTCACTTGGTTGATTTATAAGACAGTGATTCACTGCCCCAGAGAAGGAAGCTTATTAAGTAGCTTTATTTATTTAAACTTGAAGTCACCGGAAACTGAAACGATGTTCGATTTCGGGGATATTGGTAATTGTGGTAATTGTTTTTCAGCCTCTACTTACCTTCTCGGATGTGTCAACACACAGGTCATTGCATTCCACGTGGCAAGACAGGACCATACTGCCAGTGTGGTCCTACCAGTCCTGTGTGTCACTGGCCAGCCATCTATGCTGAGGATTTCTTTTCTGCCTTCATCTAGAGAGGATCATCTTGACACACAGCCTCCCCTACTCCTCTTCTAGGTAGGTAGATAGGAAAGAAAACAAGGCAAAATCTAAACCATCCAGTTGTGCTATTTGCATGTCCTAGGTTGGAGTCAGCATAGAATGAAACCTGACTGTCTGAAGTCCAATGACGCTTGGTCCAGATCAGAGCTCTAGCGCCCTGCCCCATCCCGTGGTGGAGAGCAGCCACCCTCCCTGGCAAAGTGACTGCCAATCACTGTGAAATCTTGGTGGCAGCAGGGATGAGTCTCCAACTGTGAAGAATTTTTCTTCTCAAATACCACCCTGCATGGCTACCTCTGGACTTACAGTTGGGAATGAGGGGGCCTCTTACCCTAAGTCCTGAGAGCCATTGGAAACCACCCTATTAGAGAGTCATCCCCCACCAGGGTCTACCCCTTAACACATATTCTGGAAACGTCTCTTCCTTCTGCCCCTAATGTACTGGCTTTGACCTGCTTTCCAACACATTAGTTTCTTGCTTTTGATAGATTCTTTCTCCCCAATAACTCAAGCCTGACATTCACCAAGAACTGTGACTTACTCTGTTATCATGTCACCCCACAATATATGTCACAACAGCCTTGCTTTCTTTCTTTGTCAAAGCTTAGAGCCAACTCTAGAATAAAGCGTCATTTGCAACAGCCATCTGCAATGCTTGCTACTTAGTAAACAGAGATTGGAATTTCTCCCTAAGACGATTTTGTGATGCATATAGCTGACAAAAGATGAGAATCCAGCATAAAGGAAGCCTCCATCGGGCAAAGAAGAAAACTTGAATAGCCAAAAAACTTGAGGAAAAGTCAAACTCACCAGTAATCAAGGATGTGTTCACTCTGGCAGCACATACACTAAAATTAGAACTAGTAGTCAAAGAAATACAAATAAAACCATCCATTAGATTAGCAAAATCTTAAAGTGTGATCCTATGAAATACTGACAGGAGTGGGGCAGGGAGGGTGTGTGGATATTCTCAGAACTGCTGATGACTGTGTGAATTGTTCAGCCATGCTGGAGATGACAGAGCACAGATGCTGAAGTTAACTGAGTCTAGGATACACAGCCCCCAACTTTTTTCCCCCAAAGTATAAATCCTAGAGAATCTCTCACTGATGTACTCAAGAATTTGTTTTGTTGTTGTTGTTGTTTGTTTGTGTCTTTTTCTTTTTTATTGGTACCAGGGATCAAACTCACGACCACACACTTGCAAGGCAGGCACTTATGCTGAGCTAAATCCCCAGCCCCTGTACTCAAGAATTGGATCACAAAGCACCTCAAGAAAACACTGTTTGTAATGGCAGGAAGAAATGGAAATATTCCAAATATTTGACAAGAAGAAATGGAGAAACAAACATGAGGTATTCAGGAGTCCCAATACTTTCCAAGACTCTCAGTTGGGGAAGAAGTCCTTTTCTTTTCACTATTATAATAATTTCTATCTTAGCTCAAATGAATTTTTAACCTTTTATTACAGTAGATAACAACTAAACTCAGGGGGCTTTGGGCCTCTTGATCGGGGCTTTTGCATGAAGGACAGTGGCTCAAGCAGCAAAGGCAGAGAAACAGTGATGCTGGTCCATGGGTACCTGGGACCAGGAACCTTCTTCTTACAATGGGGTCACTATCAGTGCTCCCACATTTCCAGAAGGCTCCTTTTGTTTCCTTCTCCTTTAAACACTACAGAGGAAGAAACAAAGGGAGATGCCCCCCGTGGCTTTAAGACAAACCCTTAATTTTATTTGAATATAGCGTTTTTGTCATTTAATTACTGCCATTTTTTTTTCTTTTCTTTCATTCTTTTTCCCCCTCAGCTTCCAGATCGCTGTATAATTTTTGTATCTATCCAGATTACACTAAGAGTCCACCAAGATCCGGTTACTTAATTAAGGACAGGATGGAACCTTCAACTTTACAGCCAGCCACTGAAAAGAATGACATTTTCCATTTGTGATTAATGCATTGTTAGCTCCCAACTTTTCACTTTTGACAAGTATTTTTCACTCCAAATCTGCTGCAGTGAACTTGCAGCCACTCGGGTGAACATGGATTTGATTCTCTGGAATTTGCTGGCACTTTTGCTCTGGGTCCAATCCTAAAAGGAAATGATGGTCTCAATTTGAGACCACTCATATGAGAAATTCCTCTCAGCTCCAGGGCCTTTCACAAGACAATTGGTAGGACCTTAGTAGAAAGATTTCCTATCTGACCAGCTACTTGACCTTAAAGGTTAAATTTCTTCAAGGGATGCAGATACAGTGGTGAGTTATGAGCCAGTATCTACGAAACAGATGACAGACCCAAATTTGAGCATGTGAGGAATCTCAGAGACAAGGACCCTTCACTAAGAACTTATCAGGATAAAGAAGATCATAAAATTAGTAACTCTGGGAACATCATTCCCCAGGCATCAACAGGAAAGGGAAGGCTGAGTTCTCTGCAGCTGAAATAAGCAATGTCAGAGGGAACGATGGGTGTAGTCCGTGACAAGGGGCCAGGAAATAAGCACTGTATTTTTTTTCTTTTTTGGTAGGTACCAGTGATCAAGCTCAAGACCTCATGCTTACCAGGCAGGAGCTGTGCTGCTGAGCTATATCCCTAGCCAATCCCTCTCTGTATTCTCTGATCAGCGCTTCCCAAGGACCAAATCATCCTGGACCCAGAAGGTAAGGAAGCTCCTTGATTTCAGCTCAGTCTCCCAGAGTATAAAGCAAGGCCAACCAAGAGGAAGAATGAGTATCAACTTATCCAGAATTTTCTAAAAATGCATTTCAGTGTCCACATGCTTAATGTTCCCTGTTGAATACTGTACATTAGAAATTACTCAAAGGATAATATATTCTCCATATTGGCATGTAGGGGAGTCAAATTCCTCAGACAATTTACATACCATTTAGAGACGCTGTGATTCCCAAGCCAGAGCACTAGTGGGCTTCAGTCAGCCAACTCAACATTATGCCGAGGGTATGAACACAGTTGACTCCCAGGCAGAAGAGGCAGCTGCCTTTGTATTTGGAAATAGGAATAAATATCAATGGATGTAAAAATAATGGATTTCTCACATGCAGTAAAGACTTCTTTTTGTACTTCTGTGTTTCACAGAGCATTGCTAGTGGATCTTCAATGTATATCACCAAGGAAAAGGTGTTCTACGTTCTCTTTACTGTTAAAATTAACTGAAACTTTTATTTCTCAACTAGGACACATTATTAAATCTGAAAAGTATTATTTCTATACAATGGGTATTATTAAGCTAGATAATGCACAATTCCCATCCTCCAAAATAAAGACAAATGATCTTATTCTGCTCACCAGGAAAGTCCTATCCTGGTTTCTTTGCATAAAAACTGGTAAAACCAAGCCTCGCCATAGCAACTTACCAGCTGCACCACTCTCAGACCCATTTTGAAAACTTTCCCACTTAAACCTTCTGCTTCTGGCAGCTAAATGACAGAATATGCCTACAAGAAAGGAAGCCAGGGTTTCATGGAGCACAGAGAAACCTGCTCACAGACGGTTCCAGTGAATATAACTCAGAGTAGGCAGGGCAGCCATGGAGGGCATCCACCTGCAGCAAGGGGGACTCAGAACTGAGAAGGTCATTGGGAAATTCACAGAAGGCTTCGCATGGAGGTGGCTAACTAAATTAGGAAGACTACACTCTGATTAGACAAGAGCCAGAAGAACTCAGGACATAGGAAGGTAAACTTCATGAGATAAAGTGTATGAGGAAACATGGTAGGTTCAGGGAATGGGTGGTGTTGATTATGGAGAGGAAAAAGTAGTTTAGAGCAATGATGGTGAACCTTTTAAAGACCAAGGGCCAAACTGTAACTCAAAACCCAAATATTTATTGTGAAGTGCCCACCCCGCAATTAAACCTGAATCCTGAGGTTGTAGCTTAGAAAAAGCAACTCATACATTAACATCTTTTTGTCTTAAAAGAAAAACACAGTATCACACATGCTAGAGTTTTGCCATCACTGGCTTGGAGGAATACTTAGAACGTAGAGTCAGAAGGTGCAGAAATTGGTCTTGCAGGAACTAATGGGATGGCATAGAATGTCTACCAGAACCCTGGGCAAGTGAAAAAGAATAGAAAGCAGGTTGATAGCAGCTGTCACCATGACAAAGACTGGAAGTGGAGGTGGACATTTAGAAGCCAGATGTCTGAGAGAAAGTTAATGAGAGAAGTTTCAGACCAGCACATTTACGGTGAGTGTGGCAATTCCTGATGGAAAGGGGTGTAGTGGGCAACTGGAAAGAATGGGCAAAGGAAAGAAAAATGCTACTTATTGTGTCCTCCAGGATTTATAGTGGCCATCTTGAATTTATTAGATCATTTAAGTGTCAGAAAGTAGGGCAAGACCACACACAGAAGGTGGTTTGGAAGTGTTATCTTATACCAGATCCTGTGGAGCTGTACAAGGGCATTTTCTTACAAAGAGAACAAGAGTTTTGGGATTTGGTGTTTTGAGAGAGACATTTGCATTTGGAAAAGTGAAGCAAATCACTCAGGATAAAATATTTTGGTATAAAACATAATTCTACTCCTAAGGGGAAGAAAACAATGTTTTGAACTTGGAATTGGTGTGGACTCTAAAGGCATTCCTGAAGGATGTTTCTGGGTGCCTTACAATGGCATTTTCTATGGAGGACACTCAAGCAAGGCACAAGAAATAAGGCAGGCTTAGGTTGGTGTGAGGGAGATCAAGAAGGAGGAAGTAAATGGTTTCAGTTCAAGGGCAGTCAAGTACAAGTTTATGAGAAAGAAGCTCAACTAATTTGCAGTTCAGTATCAGCAGGTATGAGAGATGCCTACAGGCCTTAACAGACAGTGTCTCCTTCCACTGTGCCCCTAAACATTTCACTTCGCCCTCCTCGGTTCTGGCCCAGATCTGATTAAAACTCATGAAGAGGCTGATTAAAGACCAGGAACATGAGACTCAGTGAAGCAAACCTACTCACAGCTACAGTATTCCTGGAGCCTAGGTGTCGCTGCTGAGGACACAGCCAGTGGTTCTCCAGAGGAACCCCCTGAGGAATTCCAGAATCTGCTGGAGAACTCCAGGGGACCCGTGCCTGGACAGCCACCTCCACGGATTCTGATCTCACTATCTAGAGTGACAGTGAGGCACTGCTATGTTTTAACTTTCCAAGATGATTTTAATGTTCAAAAATGGCTGTGAAAGGCTTACCTAGAAAAGATGACAAGCATGGACAGGAAGAAGAAGGCATCATCAGATATAGAGAAAAAAAACCTACCAAGTGTCTGACTAGAACCATCCTTATCTTTGGGTATGATGATTTATTAGTGACAGTAATAATGACCTCAAACAGGCAGTACCTATTTTACTAATACAGTTTCCCCAGGCAAGAGGACTTGGCTCACTTAAATGAAAAGGTATGTCAGGCTGGGGCTTTAGCTCAGTGGCATAAACTCCTGCCTGGCAAGTGTGAAGTCCTGAGTTCAATCCCAGTACAAAAAAAAAAAAAAAAAAAAAAACAAAACAAAAAAACAAAAAACAGGTATGTTAATGAGAAGCATAAAGCTGCAAATGGGATTTTCATGAAGACTTGAATATGCACTTTGTCAGCAATGGCTGGCAGAGGCTAGAGGTTTTCCTCAAGATGTAAGTGTGGATTAAAGCATATTATAAGCAGGTGACTAACATTTAATAGACATTCAAGCTATTTCCCTTAAATCTAGCTATTTTCTGCAAACTATAGAACAAGAGGACTATTTTGAAGTAAGTACAGTCCCCAGAGAACTCCCAACAAAATAAAAAGGAGAAACCCACCCCCCTTCATTTTCCATGTTCATGAAAAGTTTTATGCTTTTTTTGCCCCTTCCTTCTCTTCTTGTCTCCTGACACCCTCTAATTAGCACTCTCATCACCGCTGCTTGGCACGGTGCATGCTGTAGGTGGCTGGCGTGACATTGGATGCCTGCCCCTGGAGTGCTATTAGGCACCCTGTGGCGCACAAACAAAAAGCCCAGAAAGCCTGACCCAACTATTTTCCTATGAATAGAACATGCTTTCTTTATCGAGATAAAAGGTGTTTGTGTGCATCTATTTGTAGCTAGATGAAACACACATATAAGCATAAATATAGGGGACTTTGTGTACGTGTATTGCATGTGAGCTTTTAGTCTAAAAAGACTCAGAGTCAGAAATATTTTAGTGTGTCCTCAAATAGACTGGAAGCTTCTGAAAGACTCTTTCAA